CCCTCCCCCCCCCCCACAGGCCTCCCCGAATTCCTGAAGACGCTGCTGGGAGGGGACTGACGCTTCCCCGCCTTGATGGGGAGGGGGCGGCAGGAGGGGTTTAGTCTGGATCTCCGAGCTGTGCTCTATCCTCCCTGGAGCCCGCTTTGGACCCCATGGCTTTAGAGAGGGAGAAATTGAGGGTGGTGGGGGAGGAGATGGGGAGGGGACGTGACTGGGGTGTGGGGCGGAGCTGGAACTTCAGGGTCTGAGCTTAGACCTGAGGACACAAAATACGGAGGAAGAGGCGCGTCCAACGAAGGGCGTGGTTAGGATGTTTGGGGTCCGCATTCTAATGGAGTTAAAAACAAGGAAAGGTGTTAGGAAGTGAGGTGGAACCACAGCGCAGATTTAGATGGGAATCCCTAACGCCGGTGTGGGGCGCAGCCAGCGGCAGAGAGCTTGGTTTAGAATGGGGTGCTCAAACTAGTGGAGTGAGGAGGAGAAAAGAAGCGGAATCTGGATTGAAGACAGATGAGTGTAGGGGGAGAAGACGGAATCGAATGCTAAAGGCAAATTACAACTGGGGCAGGACTTAAAAGGCCTGAGCTTGGCAAGGGAGCGGCGGAACTAGATGCCGAGGAGAAGTCTGAGTTCCGAAAGGGGATGGGTAGGGCGCGGGGAGGAGGAGAGAAGAAGAGAGCGGTGGTAACCTCCGGGGCGGGCATAACACGGAAGCCTGGTAGGAGTCGGCTGGGCAGAGACCAGCATTTGAGAAAAAGCGAGGTATTCCATGCTTGGGGCGGGGTCAGAACGCTGTGGTTAAGCCTTAGCTTGCTAGTGTTTGGCCGAAGGCCGGGGAGGGGGCGGGCCTAGAGCGCGGAAGAGGCCCGCCCATTCGGGGGGCGGACCCACGCTGGCGGGGGCGTGGTAGGGCGGGGGAGAGTTAGAACCCGGAGGAGGCCCGCCCACGCGGGGCCGTGGCCACGCTGGCGGGGGCGGGGTTGGACGTGGAGAGTTAAGCGCGGAGGCGGTCCTCCTGAGGGGGCGGGCCTAGGGGGCGGGGCCTGTGCGGGCTGTGGCTCCGGGCCGAGTGGGCTGCGGGGATGCGGGGCACGAGCTGCGTGGGCGGCGGCGGCGAGAGCCCGGGTGGCGCAGGGCTGAGCGAGGGCCCGCGGGGCCGTTGGCTGCGCCTAGCCCCGGTCTGCGCCTACTTTCTCTGCGTCTCGTTGGCTGCCGTGCTGCTCGCTGTCTACTACGGTCTCATTTGGGTTCCCACGCGGCCCCCTGCAGCCCCAGCCGGCCCGCCGCCCAGCGCGCAGTCCTCTCCGTGCGGCGCCCGCGCGGGTGCGCTGCCTGCCCCGGTGCCCGCCGCCGCCTCGGTCTCTTGCCTCCTGGGAGCCCCTGGCGGGCCGAGACCCCAGCTCGAGTTGCCGCGCAGCCGCCGCCGCCGCCGCCACAGTGACCCTAGCCGCCAGACGCTGAGGAAGACGCCGGAGGCCGCGGCGGGGCGAGGACCCGGGTAACCTTCCTTTTCACCCAAGATGGACCGCCAGCCTTCGAGAGCCCGGTGCCGTCCGCGGATGCGCCGGTCCCGAATTGGTGTCTGGCTCCCTCTTCATGACATCGTCTAGCGTCTGCGGAGCCGTCATCCTGAAGAATGGGGGGCGAGGGGGAGCCGGCTCTGGTCCTTGCTCCTCGCAGCTCCTCCGCCGTCAGCTCCTCCGCCGTCAGGCCGGGTACTCCACCAGGCAGACCCCATACTGTTCACTGCCTCCTGCTCCTCCCGCAGTAGGGTTCTGTGCACGGAGCCCTCAGCCGGCCCCTCTCCTCCCTCCCTGAATCTCCGTGTGCATCTATCCACCTGCAATAAACTCCAGCCCCAGCTGCCTCGTGCTGTGTTTGTCGTGTTGTCTGCAGAGGGCCCCCCCTCTCAAGTTTGTGAAGGCAAGCCCTTCCTGGCATCTGGGCATCGCCTCTCACCCTGGGTGGGCTGTGTGCGTTCTCCCCTTCCCGGGGTGGGGTGGGGGTCATTTTCTTCTTCCGTCGCCATCGTGTATTTTCTGGGTTGGGGTGAGGAGAAGACGCTTATCCGCAACAAGGTAGTTGAAGGTCAGACGGTGTGCAGGGCTTGGCAGATTTTTGCATGCATGCAGAGGACAAGTGCCTCTGGAGGGGAGAAAAGGGCTGGCCTCCGGTAACAGCACAGGAGACAAGAGTTGGAGTGATCTCAGCGAGAACTGGGTTTCTGGGGATTGTGATTTGTCTAACTGTAGTGTCTGGCACGGAAGCTAAATCACCTGGAGAAGCCAAGATACTGCTGGAAGAACATGAGTTCATGTTCCTGGGAGCTGAGAGATGAGCATGGACAGGGTGGTGGTAGGACCCCTTTGGAAATCAGAGGAAGTTATCAAAGCACCCAGCTGCCTTTGAAGCTTAGTACCGCCTCTCTGGTCTGCAATGTTGCCTGCAAACCAAGGCAGAACAATCTGAATCCTGCTAAGAGAGTCAGAGGTGACTGAGTCTGTTTTCCCACCCAGACGACTAAGGTCTAGCCCTGGGCAGGGTATAGGACCCTATAAGCAGGAAGTGATTTCCTGTCTGACCACCTCCATTGAAGTGGAGACTTTCTTAGGATGGTGAAGCGGAGCCTCCTCCTTCAGACCGGGACAGCTGTCCATCTGTACCGGGCTAGGAACATCACTGTTTACCTCCCCTCCTTCCTTCTACCCCTTCAGCACCACTTCCCAGAGGGTGTCTTTAGGATGAATGGAATTCAGGAAGCCGGCACCCCTTTCCACTTAGCGTAGATGGTGGTTAGGGGCACTGATCTTAGGGCCAACATACCCAGATTCAAATCCCAGCTCTTCCTCTCACTAACGGTGTGACTGTGGGCAGCTAACTCAACCTCTCTGGTCCTGTAGAATGAAGATGATCATAGTATTTATCTCATAAAGTTTTTCTGAGGATTAAAGAAGCTGGTGATCTGAAGCCTTTAGAGTAGCATGACATGTTCTCGCTCTCCACCCTCCTCTGTCCCTGGGGCTTTAAAAGCCACAGCTTGGATCCCACGGGATTGCCAGTCAGTCCAGAGCTCTGGACACCAGCCAGTGGTGAGTTGGAGGGAGGGACTCCATCCTTGTTCCCACCGGCTCCCCTCCCTCTGATTCTCAGTGCTCTTCTCCCAGCCCGCTTTCCTGTGCTCTTTTCTCTGTGTCTCCCTCACCACCTTCTCCTCTATCCTCTTTCTCTTTGTATTTGTCTCTTTGTCTCTCAGCGTTTGTGTGTGTCCCCCTCTCATGTCTCTCCATGTCTGTTTCTGTCCCTTGCTCTGTTCTGACTCATTCCCTCAGCTCTGTTGCTCTTGCTTCAGCTCTCTATTCTCCCTTCCTCACTTTTCTCCTCCATCTTTTTTTTTTTTTTAAACTTTTGGCTGCGCCACATGGCACGTGGGATCTTCCCTGACCAGGAATGGAATGCACCGTCCCCACTCCCCCATTGGGAATGTGGCTTCTTAACCACTGGATCAGCAGGGAAGTCCCCTCTCCTAAACATCTCGACACAACCCCCCTTCTCATTTCTCCCCTAGTTCAGCTTCCCTTACTCCCCTATCTCCTCCACGCCCCCTCCCTCTTTGGTCTCTTTTCTCTCTTCCTGTTCCTCTCAGGCTCTGTTTTGGTCGCTATCTTTTAATCTTTCATTTAACAAATATTTATGCAGCATTTACCATGTGCCAGGCTCTATTTTAAGTACTGGGGAAACAGTAGGAAACAAAGTAGGGAGACATTTATACTCTCAGTGGAGCTGGTATATCGGTGGGGAGACAGACAAGAAATAGAGATGAATGACTTATGTATGTGTTATGTCAGGTAATAATAAACACAAAGGAGAAAACGAATCAGGGGATAGGGAGTGATGAAGTTGCTGGTTACTGGCCAGAAGCCTCAGAGAAGTGAGGGCAGGACCTGCAGGTCTTGGGGGATAGTGGTCCAGGGATCAGGAACAGCAAGTGCAAAGGCCCTGAGGCTGGAGGTGCTCTGCTTGTCCGAGGAACAGCAATGATGTCAGTGTGATCGGAGCAGAGTGAATGAGGGGGCTTGTACAGAGCCCCATGGGCCAGGGTGAGGAGTTTGGCTTTTAGTGAGGTGGAGGCTTAACCTCTCTTAAGAGGTCCTCTTAATGGGGCCCTCTGACTGCCACGTGGGGAATGAAATGTAGGGGGTGGGGGTGCAAGCTGGGAGTCCAGAAAGGAAATCACTGTGATGAGTCAGGTGAGGGACTACGGTGGCTAGATCAGGGTGGTGATTAAGAGGAAAAGTGCTGTGGGTGGTCAAAATGTGTGTGTATGAAATACATATGGCATAAAAGTTACTATTTGAATAGTCTGAATTGTGCAATTCAGGACATTAAGTACAGTTACAATGTGTGCAACCATCACCCATCAGTCTGACAGTTGTGAAAGGAGAGAGGGAGGGGCTTCCCGGGTGGTCCAGTGGCTAAGACTCTGCACTCCCAATGCAGGGGTCCTGGATTTGATTCCTGGTGGGGAACTCAATCTCTTAGAAGATTGCATGCTGCAAGTAAAGATCCTGCATGCCCAAACGAAGATCGAAGATCCCATCTGCCGCAACTAAGGCCCGATGCAGCCAAATAAATAAACATTAAAATAAAAAAAGAAGGAGGGAATGGGTCAGGGGAGCCTCTGGCTGTACCTCGCTGGGTGGGGTGGGGTTTATGTGTCTATGGAGCTGTCCTTGAGCAAGAAATTGCCCATCAGAGGACTCCTGGGTGGGGCTGCAATGGACTGGTGTAAGTACCCACTGTGTTGAGCCCAAGGGAGGCATGGCCTTGGCACCAATGCGGTAGGGCTGTCACACAGCTGTGCTGTCAGCAGCAGAATCTCTTAAAGGGAGAGCAGCTCAGCGCCATTCCATGGCCACCACGGGGATCTAAACTGTTCCCGGATCTTTCTGGCCTTATCCCCAGGCAGCTTCACCTGGTGCCCACAGATCCAGGCACCTGAGAGCTCATTACCTTCCTTCAGAGATAGGGAGGTCTGGTCCCTCCTAGGAGTTCAAGGGTTTTCCTTCAATCTGATTGGACCAGCTTGGGTCACATGATAACCCCAGAGCCAATGCTTGTGCCAGAGACCTGTCCCTGTCAGTTGCTAGTTGGTTAAGATGTGGGTCCCTGAGCCACTCACTGTTAAGTGAAGGCGGGATTACGCTGAAGGTTTAGACCAATCAGCACCTACCGTGGTATCTGGCCAAGCCCGTAGACAGCCCAACTCCTCTGCCAAACTGCAAGGACTGGGGCTGCCAGGAGGGGACGCTAAAGAGCCGCCGTCCCCAGGCTCCTGGCGTCCTCTCTACGTCCAAGTTGAAGTCGAAGATTCACGAGAGTATACGTAGATGCGGTGTGAAGGGCCTGCGGATAGAATCCGCTATTCCTTATTTGAAATTCCGAATTTCAAAAATCCCTGAAAACAAAAACAAAAAAAAATTTTTTTTTTTTGTTTTCTTCTTCAGGGGGTTATTTTGGCCCAGACTCACGTGGTGGCAAACCAGCTAATATGCATTCGTAACAGTCTTTATCTCCGTTGGCGTGAATTTTCACACGTTTTGCTGCAAATATATTAACATGTCTGATGGAGAGGGGTCGGCTTCAAGCCCCTGGGAGTGTTACATAATATACGGCATTCGCTCAGAATTACCCTCCTAAAATTAGAACATTTCTGAGTTCTGAAACGCGTCTGTCTCCAAGGACTTCAGCTAAGGGATTGTGGGCCTCTAATTGGGCACGCTGCCAAACCTAGATTCATCTTAATTATTTGTTCAACGTTTATTTAATGGCTTTGGGAAGAAACTCATTTTCCATTACAATCTTTTTTTAAAAATAGAGGATGGTGTTCATTTACTTAATCCCCTTTGTTAACGATGTGCTATTTTTAGCGTGTGTGTGTGTATGTGAAAGTGTGTCTGTGGGTATGACTATATGAGTGTGTCTGTGTGTGAAGCTGTGTCTCTTTGTGTGTGTGACAGTATTTCTGTGTGTATGTATGGGGGTCTGTGTGAGAGATGGTGTGTAAATGAGCACGTTTGATTTTGTCTGTGTGTCTATGTGACTGTTATTTGTGAACATCTACGTATGTCTGTGTGTAACTTTGTATGTGTGACTATGACTGTGGGTTTCCGAAAGAATGTGTGTGTGTGTGTGTGTGTGTGTGTGTGTGAATGTGCAGGAGAGGAGGCATAGTTCAGAGTTGTTAAAGTGCTGAAATAAAGTCCTCATTTCATGAGACCATCTCTGCCTCCGTTTTAGAATTTCAGCGCTCTTTTGCGTTGCCAAGCAATACCTTATGCGTCCACCAGAGGGCGCCTGTCTGCTTGCGCCAGAAGAAACTAATTCCTAGGAGTTTGCAGATTATCGCAAAGTGCCAGGGGCAGCCTGCTCAGGCTCACCTCAGTTATACGTAGAACAGCAGTTCTCACACTTGTTGGTCTCAGGATTCATTTTACACCCTTAAAAATTCTTGAGGAGCGAGGAGTTTTTGTCTTTTTTGTATATGTGTAACATCTATCAATAATAAATTATTAAGATCGAGAAGTTAAAAAATTTAGTAATTCATTTAAAAATAACAATGGTAAGTCCATTGCATTTCTGCACTGATTTTATTGTGGTAAGAGATACACAAAAACTTTGTTGCTGTTTAGTTGCTAAGTCCTGTCTGACTCTTTTGCCACCCCCCATACGGTTACCCACCAGGCTCCTCTGTCCATGGGATTCTCCAGGCAAGAATACTGGAGTGGGTTGCCATTTCTTTCTCCAGGGGATCTTCCCAACCCAGAGATAGAACCCACGTCTTCCGCATTGGAGGTGGATTTTTTACTGCT